TTGTTAGTAGTTTGGTTAAGTTGTTTCTTTGAGTTTACTTTTGGCATTATTGGCATTATGCAAAGAAAAAAAAACACATAAAAAATAAAATATGTAAAAAAAAATATGAAACACAAGACAACGTGTAACACGAATATTTATTCATTTTTTAATTTCATTTAAAAACTACATAATTTTATACATATAAATCTAGTAAAATTCATTTAAGCAAAACTTCGTTGTATCAAAAAAAAATTTGTTATAGAGAAAATTCGTTATAAAAAGATCATTTTTTGAGAGTAAAACTTCTGGTGCTTGATAATTGACTAATTGTAGAAATGTATTAAATAACCAAGTAAATGATTCTGTTCATCAATTCACAACACTTTGGTCATAATTGTTTACGCCTGTGAATATATCAAATGGTAAATCAAACCTATTTGTTCAAGAAGTGTTAATGACATCACAAAACCTAGCATAATTTATTCTTTGTTCTGAAAAACATCCATATGGAAGATACAAATTCATTTGTAATATTATTAATCTTAATTGTATATATGAACTTATCATCTGCTTCTTTATGCTGTTTTACAAAATGCCATCTCCATGATTATATACGAAATTGTAAATATTGTCATAAAGACGGACAAGTTACTTCTGGATAATCATGCTTTATTATATCTTGAATACCTGCTATATAGTTCCAGCTGCATGCAGATTGAGTCTTTTCCTTAATCTCAGGTATTTCCAATAATCCGTTATCTTTAGATTTATAATAAAAGGACAATTACAACGTTGAGAAGCATGATTTCGTGAGTTATTATTATCAGTATTATCAGTATTCTTTTTTATTTGCTTAATGAGCTTCCACATCATATTTTGCACGATCACAGCGTACAGTAAATCCACAGCTTTCTGCATAACTTTTTACACAGGTTTCAAAAGTATTGTAATCTTTAAAGTATTTTCTTAAAATCCTGGTTACTAAAAACATCTTCCTCAACATTTACAGAAAATCACTATTTGACATTACTTTTTTTTTTAAAAAAAAAAAACAGTATAAAATGATAAAAACATGATATATTATAGAATACAATAATTTTTATTGTTTCTACTGTTTTACGCGCGTATATAAACACTTCCTAATTTGTAATTATAGCACTTCATCTTAAGATTGTCTTTATTTTTGACCCTCCCTCTTGTTATGTTAAACAAATAATTAGCTTATTCGAAATTATTCTAATTAAGACCTATAATTAAGTTTATATTTTGCACATGTAATCTATTATAAGCAACTGTTCTTTTTCTCAACTATCTTTAGACTCTAGAACACACTATTTCATAGTCAAAGCATTTTTTAGCACTAATTTCTGCTCATTTATTAAAATATTATTGATATCTTGTAATGCTTCTATTCGTTTGTCATCACATAAAATTAACTCTATACTTTGCGACATTATTCAAAGAAAGTTAGCTGACACCATCGGATGATATTTGAAGATCAATTCACGTTAGGGTGTCCCGGAATGGGTTGGGCGTGATGGTCAAAAATTCGCGCGTGATTTTATCACAAAAATCGTGATTATAATTCCGGCTGAAATTAACATAATTTCAGAGTAAAACCTAGAGTATGAACTATAAATAGTCCGGAATTATTTAGATCGAAAGTTTAAATTTTTTAATTTAAATGTCATCTTTGCAAAGGGATTTGTTTAAAGGAAAGGGTGTTTTAGGTGACGCTGTTGGAAATAATGGTGGTAGTTCCGAAGTTTTAGAACTAATAGACGACGAAGAAGAAGAGGAAAAGGATACCTTTGAGAGTTTTCCCACAAAGTATGTGGATTATTGCCTCTAACGAAATCATATTTTACCTTTTGTAAAACTCTTTATGTCCTTTCCCCCCTTTTATTTTCGTTTTTGATTTAGCTTTCTGAGACCACAACGCAAAAAAAAAATTTATACACCGGTTCCTTGGGAGACATGTTTTGACAGTTGCAAAGATATTAAAATACCTGATTCTGATGATATATCCTTCGTTTTCTATATGTTAATAATATATATATATGTATATTTTTATTTCCTTGACAGATTATAATCTTTATTCACGTATTTAAAGCATATGAGATTCGAGGAACATCGGAAAATTGTCCACTTTTCGTTTTTCATCATGGGGCTGGATATTCCGCTTTATCATTTGCTTTAACGTGTTCATACATCAAGCAATTGAATAATGGTAATTGTACTATGTTTGCATACGACTGTAGAGGGCATGGTACGTTTTGATATACATTAAACCTATTTATGGTAAGGAGGAGCCAAGATCTAATTCTTTCTTTTTATTTATTTATTTTTTTTTTTTTAAAAAAAAATTGTTTTAGGGGATACCAAAACGTCAGAAGATAAGAATTTATCATTGGATAGATTGAGTAAGGATTTAGTAAATGTGTTGAAAACTGCATATGGAGAAGACGTTATAACGAGTCGAAATATATTCTTGGTGGGACATAGGTATGAGAATAACTGGATCGGTTATTTTCGTTGAAAAATCAAAAATAAACCTTTAAATTCATTTTAGTATGGGAGGATGTGTTGTTGCAAATGCGGCATCAGAAAATTTAATTCCATCTATGACTTGTATAGCAGTAATAGATGTCGTTGAGGGTATGTTTGAGCGTCAAAGATTTTTTTTTTTCTCGTGAAGGATTTATTTTTTTAAAAAAAAAAAAAAAATTACGAGGCATGGAACTTATATTTAGGGTCAGCTTTGGAAGCAATTTCAGGAATGTTGGATTTTTTAAGAACTAGGCCAACAGAATTTAGATCAATTGAACATGCTATTGAGTGGAGCGTAAAAAGTTCTACCATACATAATGCAGAATCATCTAAAATATCTATACCAAGTTTAATAAGAGAACAAGAATCAAAACAAACTGATACCGTCAAATACGTTTGGAAAACTGATTTAGCTGCGTCTCAACCATATTGGAAAGGTACTTTTCTTTATTTTTATTAAAAAATAAATAAAATAAAAAAATAACACCATTCTTTATCATAGGATGGTTTCTTGGTCTTTCAGACAAATTCTTATCAGCAAAGGCAGCGAAATTACTTATCCTTGCGGGTACTGATAGACTAGATAAAAAATTAACCATTGCTCAAATGCAAGGTAAGTATCAGCTTCTTGTATGGCCCGATGTGGGCCACATGGTACAAGAAGATGCTCCTGATAGAACAGCTAATGCTTTAATGGAATTTTGGAAAAGAAATGAAAGATTAGTTTTACCTGTAAAGAAAGTTGCATCTTAAAATAAGTGATGAATTTAAAAAATAAAAATAAAATTGGAATTCTAAATGTTCTTAAGAAGGATAATGGTATTGATTATCCCGTGAAAATGTGGATTCAAAAAAAAAATATTTATATTAATATTCCAAGTTTGTATCTGCGATTGAATCATAGACAATTATAAACGGATAGTAACAAACCTTATATGCGTACCATGTATTACGTATATTTAATTTTTTAATTCGACGCAATTCAAAACATCAAACTATGTTTAAAATATCTATTACGAAAAAAATTTCTTTAAAAAGTAAAAAATATATTTTTGTAATGCCATCCAAAAGTCATCACAAGCTTTTCATCATTTGATACTTGTTTCATTCATTTTAAACCAGTTACGCTCAAACAAATATAATTAAGATTAATCTACCTTTTTCGCGTTAATTATTTCCTCAAAAAATTACAACTAATCTGTTTTTGTGTGAAATGAAATAAAATAACTTCCCATAATTTCAAGTTTTATGGGGGGGCTCAAATTTCAACTTTTTTTTTTTTTTTTACACTATACCAAAAGTAACGAGTTGATATAATAATATGATTTTTATTTAAAAACTATACATATAAATATTAATAATTAACAATTAACAAATATTAAGAAGAAAAAAAACGGTAAAAACCTAAGCCATTAAACGCCAAATGAGGTAAAATAAAACCAAATAAAAAGTTTAAACCATTCGGGGTATTAATATGAAAATGAATAAAATATAAACATTGATGAAAGAAAATAGATGGTAAATAAAAATAATATGAACATATGAAAATGACAGAATAGTTATGAAAGAATAAAAAAAAGGAAGGATCAAATAAAAAAAAAAATGCCAACAAAATAAAAAATTATATACAGGAAAAAAAAAATTTACAAAAACTTGAAATGTTGCGAAATGCGAAGCCAAACTCGTGATTAGTGATTTGATTTGATACTTCACGTGACATATGAAAATCACTTTTAATGTTTGCCAACAATAGTAGCGCTTCCACCGAAATCATTCGATTCTTCAACAATTGGATCCAAAAACATGGAATTTCTATTGGATCTAATAGAAGCTCTACTTCCTTTTCTTTTAATAGCACGTTGATTGCTATTTACCACGGGAGAAGGAAGCGCGAAAACAAAGTCCCTCTGTTGTTGACCATTGTTGTTATTTCCGCTACCATCTAGCGTGAAATGATCATTAACGTTATTAAATGAAGGAACCCTTCTTGGTAATAAAATTGGACTTTCCATCGGACTTGAATCAGACGAAGAAGGAAGGAAAGATGGTGGGTAAATTTCAGTGGTGTAAACGTGTCCTGAAGAGGTTGATGATTGAGGAGATGTTGAGAAAACTTGAGAAGTATGATGAGGATTATTGAAAAATGCTGATGCGTTCATTTTGACAAATATTTAACAGTTTGAAGGGTGAAGGTTTTTTTTTTTTGCAGTGATCGTGAAAAAGAGATTCTAAATCCGCAAGTGTGGTGGCAAAGTAAAATATTTATGATTGCAAAGCAAGGTTTTTGACTTGTATTTAAAATAGAAAAGTGGTGGTGGCTATTTATTTGCACAGCCTTAAAATCTCATTAATAAATCAAACGTTATCGTAAAAAAAAAAAAAAAAAAAAAAATTTTTTTCGTTAGGGAAGGAGAGGGTGAGGGTGAGCGAGAGGGATTTCGTTTAAAAAATATATAAATATATTTGATAAAGGAATTTTTATTCGTTTGAAAGAATTTTATCGTTATATTGCATTAGGGAAAAAAAAAATTTTTTTTTTCTTTATGGGTGGAAATGAAAAAATTTGATTAAATTTTGAGCATTTTTATAACGAAAAAAAAAAAAAAAATGTGAAAAACGTGGTTGATTTATAATATCAATAATAATTATATATTGTACAGTACTACTTTATTATTTGGGGAACAGACTTTTTTTTTTTTAACAAACAAAAAACTTCTTACTATTCTCGTATAAATGATTAAAAGAGGTATACATATGAAATGTATTTTTAAAAAAAGTAAATTAATAATAATAATAATATGCTTGCAACTTAATCGGAAAATCGGTAAAACAAAATCTCAAGAAATTATTATTGTACTAGTTACAATAAATTATATCATTCTGAAATGATTAAACTAAAAATAGAATTACAATATTTTTGACAAGAAAATATTGTTTGAATTTTGGAAACTTGTTTCTTTGAAAGAAGGCTTAGTTTGTAAAAAAAAAAAGAAATATGAGTGGTTCTTCAGATACAAAATATAGATATGATTATGATACAAATTAATGAATTTTTTTGATCAAAAATTCTGATATGTGACTTATTATTTATATACATGTGGTAACCTAAATAAAGAGATAATCAAGTCGTTATAGATAAGCTTAAATTTATATCCTTATTAAATGAAATTTATTGGTTTATAAAATTGATGAGGGAAGTTTTCTATAGAACGACAAATTCTTTTTGTGTTCCTCTAATGTGCAACAATAAAAATAACAAAAAAACGCTTAATAAATATTTGGAAATTTTTGTAAACAATTACCCCAAACTTGTTAAGTCCGATAATACCATACCGGATTCCGAATGATAAAATCCTTTGAATTTTCCCTTAACCTTAATGTCGCAGATTCGGAAATTCTCCCATTCCGCCCATAGGTAACTCTTACTGGGGATCAATTAACTGTGATTAAACCAAAAATGTAAATTTTCTCACAATTCCCAATTTGAAATTCATCGGCCTTTGTTGGTTTTGCGTCATTATTATAACTAATATCTTTTGATTTCGTCATTTGACGCCAAACAACAATTTCTTCGGGAAGGATCAAATCGACTCGTTTTACCAAATCACAACATGCGGTTGGTATTAAAAACCCAGGCTTTTGTTCGAATTTTAATAGATTTTTTTTTTTTGCTATATGGAATCTAATTGGTTCCGAGCTTATAAACAAATAAATTATCATTTACCAAATGCGAGCACCAATACTTGTATTCATGTTTTATATAAATGTAAACATTCTTATTTTACATCTGTTTTACCATTCCGAACTAATAAAGGAGTTTTTTTTATAATTTAAAGTTTTAGATTTTTAATTTAGTATAATTTTAGGATCTATCATAAAAGTGGAATAATAATTCGATAAATAATAAGAAAATCCAAATAATAATATCAACATAATACAAAAAATATCGGAATAATATATAAATTAGTTTCAAATATTCTTCTTAAATTCTATATTTGATCGACAACCCTTAAATTGTTTTACAAAATATTTTTTAATTATTTTTACGAAAATTATAGCATGAAATTTTTTATTTTTTTAATCAAAAAACGTACATATAAAATGTTCTCAAAAATTTTATTTAATAAAAAATAATAGAAAATAACTAATAATAATAAAAGATAAACATTATTAAAGGAATACAAATTTTTTCCTTTAAATGTAAAAAGTTTCAACAAATATAATTTGTTTAAAAAAAAGGTAACCTTTGTGCCAATATTACAAATTGGAATAGCTCTAAATGAATAGAGCCTGTTTAAGATTTTTCATTCAAATTGTTGAATGAAAAGAGAAAATTTCAAAATGTTACTAATGATAATATTAAATATCATTTAGTAACATTTGAAGTTTCAATAGATTCACCCAATAATCTATTTCATAAGAGATTGGATCAATCTATCCATACCGTCATCATTGTCGTCAATAAAGTCATCAACAAATTGATCTGGATCATCTGGATTGTCATAAATAGCATTACCATGCACGTAATTGTTATACGTTGTGGAATTATGATGAATAGTATTTGTTGTAGTTTGATGACTCATAATACCATTTGTTCCGTTTCCGTTTGTTCCATTAGTTTCATGAGATAAATTCTGCCGGGGAATATTTTGGAACGGATTATTCGCTCTATTATTGTTTCGAATTGCGATTTCACATAAAGTATCATGAACGATCCAAGGAAATGTAATCATATTTTCCGAAGCATCGTCTCCCAATTCGGAAGGATGATACGTTACATAATACCACGCAAATGCTTTTGCTTCCATTCGATTACGAGCTTCTGGTGAAACCACATTAGTTCCTTCACCATAAAACTCTTTTTCAAATTCTCTCCTATAATGCTTCTTGATTGGACCCATAGCGTCTAAAACAGATTTGGTGATGTCACGTGGCTTCTTTTTATCAACTTTCGTAACCGTGTTTACGATAAATCCGCTGACTACTTCAAACTCCGTCATAATACCAAATTGGTTCATCAATCCTCTGATGTCCTCATCGTATGTCCTTTTGAGAAACCTTGCATTCTCTAAATACGCTCTATATCCTTCCACATATAACCTTTCATCAAAATTCAAACGAGTGTAGGGCTCGAATTCTGCAACTTCAATAGAACGGTACATAATGCCGAGGACCTTTTTAGATTCATAACTATTTTTGTCGGACTTTTCCATAAAGTCTGGGAAAGAACGGGCTCGGAGCTCTGGTGGAAAAATTGCTGGTCTTCCTGTTTTGGGGAAATCTACGGCTTCAGAATGTAATTGCGCAAGGCGTATACATTGCCCATGAAATGCGCCACTTTCCGAGGCATCGGCTTTTGCCAAGTGGGCATTCGCGATCATACCCAGTTGATCAGATAATATATAATTTACGAAAAACTGCTTGATATGCGTCATGGTTACTTTATCTACCAAATCAGGTTTTGGCGCCTCGTAATTCATCGGCTCATGGTTTCTGATCTTTGGCATCAAACGCTCATCATATATGATGCTAAAAAATAAAGAATTTTTTTTTTTAAAATTTAAATAACCAATAATAACAAATAGTCAAATTAATGATTAATTTGTATACTTACGTAAAATCATCACCGTCTAAATCTCCTCCACTGCATTCACTAGGAATATCACGATAGCCCACTGCTGGGAATACCACCACATCGACAAGGTGACTCAACGCAGAACATTGCACAGCAGTAACAACACGTATGTCGCCAGGATGAAAGCAAGGATTCCGGTATGTAATACAAGGTCCCGTAATCACTTTCCTACTGGACGGGTTTGCCGGGTCAGAGACGCAGCAGTACACCTGACCCTCTCTTAAAGTCTCTGTTTCGTCCAAAACGCCTAACAAAAATGCGCCTTTGTCTACACGGATCTTTGCTTTTTTCTTAAGATCCCTCAACATCATAATACTGAATAAAGAGATCAAATTCATCAAATATCGATCTTTGCTTTGCAGAAATCCGGCCTTCACAAGGTCTGCCAAAGATTTGGCTACTCCGTGTTCATCAATGTTTTTATGTAAAACAGTTACGGCGTTATTCTCGTTTTTAAGCATTTTATCTAGCTCATTGACCTGCGCATTCTTCAGATCAATGAATACATTGTCGGGTACTCCTAGTACGGACAACAATGTAATAGCCTGCCTATTGAGATAAGCAGGAATGAAAGTAGACCCTCTAATAACCTCCAATACATAGTGGTCCGATTCGAACTTTTCCTGGCTGGGACGCACTTGAATTTGATTATTTCGCAAAAAGCGTGATTGGCATAATACTCCTTTATACCCAGCAAGCCGAAATTGGAACGCACTAGGAACAGTCTTTAATTCTAAGGTATCAGCCACTCTCTTTGATAATTTATAAGAGATCTTTCCTACTCCGTCAGAAAATGTATACCGATTTCTAATCACATCAGGAATCTTAACAATATCGTCGACCGGCAGACGCGCGATTGCGCGAGTACTAGAAAAACATTGTCCCATACGAGCAGCATATTTGGCGACACTTTTATTGGTGGAAAAGGTCCCCATCCATTTTCTAACATCGTCCGCAGATTTATAAGCAGTTGGAGCAAAAAACCAACATGAATGATCCCTCAATTGACTTGACGAAAACGCCAAGAACTCGTAGTGTCTATCTCCGATCTTGATACCATCACTTAAAACTTTGAAAACCTTGTTATACAAGGCATCGTTATGGGTACCATTAGACGAACTAACTTTGTTGGATGCTTCATCCACGAATTGGACACGCAAAAAGTTGTCTTTCATGTGGTGAAAGTGACGTATCACACGATTGGAAGTCTCCATGGTTGGAGTCAAAATGTACATTGTTGTTGGGGTTACTACAACTTTACGCATCATCGCGCAATAGGATGGTACATGCCTCGGCTTCCTCTCGACATGTCTCATGGACTCATATCTTAAATATGACAATGGATCGAACTGACGTTTCTTTTTCGCATAGATCGACTCCAAAATATACGTAGCGGATTCAGTTGGTAGATCGTTCAATAGTGAAAAGAACTCGTTATTCAGATTATAGTCGTGCAAAAAGTTGAAAGAAAGGTTACATTCAACCATATAAAGGACGTCATAATTTAACATTGAACGTTCCACATATTTGCGCAAATTAGTCCCATTAACAATACGTAGCGGTTTTTTGTTAATGCCGTTTTTGGGAGCTAGATTATATTCACTTGCTTTTTGCATCATCTCCTTGAATAGAACGAACCCTTCTCTAGGTGTATTGGCAACTCTATCCAGGTCAAAGGTAATTCTAAAAACAACCCATTTTCCTAGTTGTTCACTATTATCTGGCATATGTGGCTGAAGGGGTATCCCATCCGTATTGCTTTTTTTTACTCGTATTTCAGTTTTACGCTTCCAAGAGTCGGCCATACACCAAATATATTTATTATTGGATTGTAACCTATTGTCGAGCATCCAATATCTAGCAGGAAACTTGTTAGCAATGGTGATTATTCCCCGTGATCGTTGCTTTGAGTCATCTAGTTCTCCATGAACCTCGCCGTCGATATCCTTAAACTCGATTTCCATCTTAAACGTGTAATATTGCTGTGAACTCTTTACACCAAATTCAATAGTAATATTACGTTTTTGATAATTAATGATGAAATTTACGAGGTCCGTATAAATTGCTTCCGAAACAAAAACTTCAGGTTGTTGATAGACCCCCATCTCTAAACTTTCCGCTCTTAACGAATGAAATCTTAACTTATATCTCTTATTGTCAGTATAGTCGCAGAAACGTTCCGACATATGGTCAATATAATCCACTTGTAACACCTTCCCATGGAAACGTACTGCATCTCTCCAGAATGGAGTAGAGGGCACCGGTCTGTTAAATAAAAATATTATCAATTATTAACCAAGCTTAACTTTAATATAAGAGACATAAAATTTTATTAAAAATATTTACCTGAAAGATACAAACACAGCCCCGGTTGGTTGTTCACCCTCCGAAGAATCTCTCGTTTCAAATTCAACTTTATAAACAGTGCCATGAGCAGCAAACGCATCTTTCATTTCAGAAACGTTGGCCTTAGAAGGAACGTTACTAACCCTGAAAGTTAGTTCAGTGAATTTCTTCCAGTCATGGGGAGGTTCTTTGTATTCACGCATATCACCGTTATCATAATGGTTCCTACCATTATTTGAGTAACTGCGTCCGGCCATATTATTGCTTCCGTTGCGATAGCCACTGCGATAGCCACCGTTGCGATGGTTTTGAGTGGTTCGATTATTTGTATAGTTGTTATTAGGCGGGCGATGGGATATCAACTGCATATGGGAGGCCTTTAGCTAGGAAAAAGTGAGAAAATTAAAAAACACACTTTTTGAGAGAAATTATTTCGTTTTAAGAAAGTTTATATAACTATAATATATCAATAAAAACCTACGACCAATGAAAAACTTATGAAGTATACAAATCATGAATCATGTGATTGTATTTACTAAGTAAGGTAAGTTAATAATAAATCATCAGAAGATAATCGTTTTTTTGTATATCCGATGTAATTGTTCATTTCAAAAGGAAAATTTATATTAAAAATTCTAGACCTCATGATTTAGTGAAAATGTTATTGTTGTCACAAATAAGTTTCGAATATTTATTAATATAATACTCCGAAATTCATCCAAATACTAACTTTTAATACATACTGACTTTATTTTTATTTTTATTTTCTTTGTTAATATCGCAGCAACAATTTTCAGGAGAACTTGCACACATGATTTATATTTTTTTTTTTAATCTAAAACTTTTAATAAATTGGTAGATGTGGCGATGAAGATGCCGCATTTGTCTCGTGCAACGTTGCGATTAGTCGTGTACCGTTATACGAGAATGCAAACAAATTTGTGCAAACACCTAGACACATAAAAAAAAGGCCAATGACAAAGCATTAAGTTATATGTCATTCGCGTTCGTTAGATTATGCAACGCGTTTTCCTCATCTAGAAACTATCATTAAGAGTTTAAGAGTGTGGACACGGCACGGCATTTACCATACGCCGTAATAAGGTAAAGTCATTTGATATAAATCACGTGATTGTTTTTCCTAATATTAAAAATTATGATACATCAGGTCAATAAAATGATGTAAAGGCGTTTAATTAGTTATTGAAAAATCTAAATGGTTGCAATCTAGGTTGTAATCTTATTATTTACAATTAGTGCAGATTTTTATATTATAATTCTTATAATTAAGATTCTATAATTAGTTGTAATTTAGATTGTAATCTAACAAATTATAAACTAGTAGTTGCAAATATATGGGAACTTATCAATAAAAAGGAAGAAAATCTAAAAAAAATTAAATTTTTACTTTATATATTAAATATGAATTTTTTAGTAAAATAAGTTTAGATTTAACATTAATTCATAAAATATTTTTTTAGATTTCCTTTCTTTTTATTAACAAGCTTACATATTTTTAATTCTAAGTTAAATATTTATTAAAAGTAATATAAATTTGATTAGTAAACTAATAAAAGTTTGATAAATTAAACCTTATATTTTAAAAACAAAATACTTTGAAGAAAAATTATGTATAATAGTAATTTCTTTAAATAATTCAAAATAATATATATATTTATTTTAACTATTGAATCTCTAATAGAAAATTATTTAACTAAATTATTTTTAAAGTCAAAATAAGTAATAATTTCTATAATAGTATTATATATATTTTGATTAATTAATAAATTATTAAAAAAACATAATATATGTATTTGAGTTCAAATCTGTTATTTGAATAAATAGTAATAATTAGATAATAATTTAAAATTTCAGATATAGATCTATAAATTTGAAAAGTTTAAGCAGATAATCACTAAGCCAATGATCATAAATAATAATAGAGATTTAATAAATTATCTTATATAATACTGTAGTGATTGATTTAGAGTTCAAATATCTGGATAAATAGATAATATATATCTGAAATACAATTTTAAGTATATTAAATTTAATTGCTATATATATACTGAAGTAAATATTTATTATAAATCATCAATTATATAAAGAATATTACAAATAATTTCTGTTCAAATATTTAGTCATAACCTTAAATTATAATTTAATTAAATATTCAAATAGATTCAAATAGATAACAAATTTAAACTCTGATATGTATTAAATTATAATATAAGAAAAATATATAAATTTATTTTAGTTTTAATTGTAGTTTAAAAAATTAAGAATTTTATTAATATAAAAGGTAGTCAGTAGAAAAGTGAAAAATCTAAAATTTTTGTTAATTTTAATTATTAAGCTAATTTTATGTACATGACCGAGATCAGCCAAGTAGTCTAATAATATAAATTTTGACCAAAATTTGAATTTTTCCCTTTTCTACTGACTACCTCCTATATATAAAAATTATTTAGATAATCTAAATGATGTAATTATCAAATAATTTTAATATTGTTTATATCATTTTGTTAATTTACTTTTGTTTACTCAATTTATTTATTTTTATTATTTTTATTTAATTTATTTATTTTATATTATTTATTTATTAAATTTATTTTATTTTATATATTTAACTTTATTAACCAAACTATATAGATTATTTAGGAATATCAGAATATAAGAGTTATTAAATAGTTTGATTTGATTTATTAAAAATATTTATATAGTACAAAATGCAAATATGAAATAGTACTCATTTATTATTCTATATTAAATAACAATCAATAAATACATTTTATATAACCTTAACTATAAATGTAACCTTATATTTATCATCTTTATTATCTGTTTACTTATAATAATTAAACAATATCAAAAAATTAATATAATATTAGTAAAATCAATAAATCAACAAATTGTAAACATAAAAATTTTTTATTAAAAATAGTAGTATATTATAAATAATTTTATTATTATATAGTTTTTTTTAAAAATCTGTTAATATTAATAATATTAAGAAAAATATTGATTTTAATCAAAAGAATTAAATTTCTTATAATTTATTAAAATTACTTATAAGTAAAGATAGTACAGTAATTGATTTCAAATTTACAAAATGTTGCAACATAAGCTAAAATTAGTTGCAACATATATAGGTTAAAACT